TGCTGATCACTTTTATTACAAAGCGATTCCTGGTAACAATTATATACAGATAACGTCACTGTCTTGTCTGCGTTTTAATAAAGGAACAAGGTCACAATCTAGGTGGTACCATTTATTTTACGGTTAAAATACCGTATAACCTGATATTTTCGCGAGTTTGATATTTTTCGCTTTTTCGCGGTACATTAACATGCTCGCGAAAATTTAATCGTTGAAATGATGATACACTGTGTGTTAGATTTTCTTTTACACACAGATCGTGAAATTTTAAACTCTGTTTAAATATGAATTGATTGTTTTAAATCTTCAATCGCGGAATTTTTGACTCGTGAAAATTACCCGCCATACCGGTATCATAAGATAAGTGCAGTACCAGTCATGAAGTTCCGGTTAATATCAAGAATTTTTTACTTGGATATTTGTAATATTTTACACACGTTTTTTATCACAAGGACAACGATAGCTATAATCAGTTACATTAAACGAGAATATCTGCGGTATGTATGTTGTTCAATTAAACACCTGCTCATTTGTTTAATATTCTAGTTCCACATACAAAATAAACAAACATAAGTTAGAGAACAGGGTGGAAATATAAACACATTGTCAAAACCTAGTAATGCGTATCAGGATACAGCTCAATGCATAACAAGGAGTGTGTTTATCTTGAGAGTATTACTAATCATGCAATGCACATGCATGTGTGTAACCGAGTCAATACATCCCAATAAAAGTATATCTTCGTTTCACGGTGTATTGTTTTACTGATATGGATTGGCACGTCCGCAGACAGGTGCTACACTAAAACACAGCAGTTCCGAAACCGATACTGATATCTCGGAGAACAGACAACGACAGACTTGTTTGTTGTATAATGGATATAACAAGCCAAAAATAGGTCACAGCGAAAAAACATACTGCTGGAAGTGAGGATCGAATGAAAAAGAGGTTCAAAACAGAACCATCTCTTTATACATAATTTTACTGTCCAATGGTAACATACCAAACTTTACACAAGTATCAAAGGCCAAGGAATGATGATTACCGATATCGGGTTATGATGTAGTCGGGTGTTGTTAATGACAAAGTACCAAGTACCGTAGGGTTCGTGTCCTCATCAACCTTATAATCGGTCATTAAGGGGTGTTTGTAAGGAAATCAATATATATATATTGATGGTTTTACGTCACGTTTTCTTATTGACAAGGAAATAACAAACAGACACATAATGAATCATCGTTCTGCTTGACATTCTTTAATCAGGTGGTATTAGAAATTAATGAATAATTGATAGAATACCACATTGATATGTAGAGGTCAAAGTTCAGGAAAGTTCACGGTATCGCACTAATATGTAGAGATCACAAATCAGGAAAGTTCACGGTACCGCACTAATATGTAGAGATCACAAATCAGGAAAGTTCACGGTACCGTACTAATATGTAGAGGTCAAACATCAGGAAAGCTCACGGTACCGCACTAATTTGTAGAGGTCAAACATCAGGAAAGCTCACGTTACCGCGTTGATATGCAGAGGTCAAAGATCAGGAAAAGTGACGATATTGCACTAATATCTAGAGGTCAAAGATCAGGAAAGGTCAAGGTATCATCGAGGACGATAGATATTACTGTGTTTTTCAACCATGATGGAAATAAGTATGGCCAATGTATCGTTATTATCAAATAAAAATGACAGATGACGTCTTCTCTCCCGAGAGTCACACTCTCTAACTCTCCTTCATCAGCCACGATATTTACCTAAAGGAAGACTACTAAGTGAAAGTAGTCATCATTGATGAATGAACTATTAACACGAGGCGAGGGATGGAAGTTGTCATTAATTACAGTGTTGTCGTTAATTACAATGTTGTCATTAATTACAGTGTTGTCATTAATTACAGTGTTGTCATTAATTTTAAAAATGGTAGCTCGTATTACACCTGTGTGAGTGAGTGACCTGGGTCGTTAAAGTCGAACCAATTAAAAAGTTAACAGTTGAATTATTACTACATTTTATGGCCGTCCAGGCGATAGGGAGTGCGACATCAATTTACCTGTACGTGTAATTCAATATAAAAAATAAGTGTTAACACCAAATACCCGGACCTTACTTCTGCTTGTTGACGTCACAGAACCACTTATAGATGAAATCGAGACCAATATACATTGTAGTCTGATTGAGGGAAATCCTATCCCATAAGATTAACATTTTGTGTGTAGTGCACAGTGGTCTCAGCAAGAGGTTTACAAAGGACAACAAACTTAGTCCGTAATACTGAAACATGTCCAATAAAACTTAATTGTTTATCTTTAACGTCAGTTTACCTAATGTACATTTTATGTGTTAGTATCTTATTTGACTGAGACCTGGAATTAAACCGCGACCTTTAGAGTATTACATGATATAAAACATTGTTGTGACCTTGAATTATAACAAACCGCGACCAGTAGAGTATTATATGATGTAAAGCATTGCCGTGACCTTGAATTAAACTGCGACCTGTAGAGTATTACATGATATAAAGCATTTCGGTGACCTTGAATTAAACCGCGACCTTTAGAGTATTACATGATATAAAACATTGTTGTGACCTTGAATTATAACAAACCGCGACCAGTAGAGTATTATATGATGTAAAGCATTGCCGTGACCTTGTATTAAACTGCGACCTGTAGAGTATTACATGATATAAAGCATTTCGGTGACCTTGAATTAAACCGCGACCTTTAGAGTATTACATGATATAAAACATTGTTGTGACCTTGAATTATAACAAACCGCGACCAGTAGAGTATTATATGATGTAAAGCATTGCCGTGACCTTGAATTAAACCGCGACCTGTAGAGTATTACATGATATAAAGCATTTCGGTGACCTTGAATTAAACCGCGACCTTTAGAGTATTACATGATATAAAACATTGTTGTGACCTTGAATTATAACAAGCCGCGCCCTGTAGAGTATTACATCTTAGAAAAGTTTTACTGTACCTGACAACGACCCTGTTCGTCTTAGTAAAGTTTACTGTACCTGACAACAACCCTGTTCGTCTTAGTAAAGTTTACTGTACCTGACAACGACCCTGTTCGTCTTAGTAAAGTTTACTGTACCTGACAACAACCCTGTTCGCCATAGTAAAGTTTACTGTACCTGACAACAACCCTGTTAGCCATAGTAAAGTTTTACTGTACCTGAAAACGACCTTGTTCGCCATAGTAAAGTTTTACTGTACCTAACAACGAACTTGTTCGTCTTAGTAAACTTTTACTGTACCTGACAACAACCCTGTTCGCCATAGCAACGTTTTACTGTATCTGACAACAACCCTGTTCGCCATAGTAAAGTTTACTGTACCTGACAACAACCCTGTTAGCCATAGTAAAGTTTTACTGTACCTGACAACGACCTTGTTCGCCATAGTAAAGTTTTACTGTACCTGACAACGACCTTGTTCGTCTTAGTAAAGTTTTACTTATTTTCATCTAAATATTTACTAAAACGGCAAGTTTTAGATTGTACCTTTAATACCGCTACTGTAGCTAAATTATGTAAGTTATCATTTAAAAATACAATGTTAACATGTCATCAATTTGTCTGTGATGTCCTTGTTATATTTTCTTATGTATAATGTACTGATGTATCTGACCACATCATCAGCCTACAGTTGATGTTTCTGCTATCGATTCCTGGTGTCTGTTCGACATGTAAATGTATATTGATTATCCGTGTTTTTTCCACATCTAACAGTACTGAATGTATTTAATGTCGTTCAGTATTTTAGCCCTATAATTACTGTAGGTTTCTAGTTTTTGAGTAATCAATGGTCCTCAATTCAGCATGAATGAACACAAAAACAAAAGAAACTATTTTACAAACACATGCACGTATGTAAAAGATTTCCATCCAAAACTGACTCGTCAGTTAACATCGAATTACAAGTGCATTGCTGTTATTGTCTGTCCATGTGTCTTTGTCTGTCCATGTGTTTTTGTCTGACCATGTGTTTTTGTCTGTTCACGTGTTTTTGTCTGTTCACGTGTTTTTGTCTGTCCACGTGTTTTTGTCTGTTCACGTGTTTTTGTCTGTCCATGTGTCTTTGTCTGTCCATGTGTTTTTGTCTGACCATGTGTTTTTGTCTGTTCACGTGTTTTTGTCTGTTCACGTGTTTTTGTCTGTCCACGTGTTTTTGTCTGTTCACGTGTTTTTGTCTGTCCATGTGTTTTTGTCTGTTCACGTGTTTTTGTCTGTCCATGTGTTTTTGTCTGTTCACGTGTTATTGTCTGTCCGTGTTTTTTTGTCTGTCCTTGTTTTTTGCCTGATCACGTGTTATTGTCTGTTCACGTGTTTTTGTCTGTCCATGTGTCTTTGTCTGTTCATGAGTTTTTGTCTGTCCACGTGTTTTTGTCTGTTCACGTGTTTTTGTCTGTCCACGTGTTTTTTGTCTGGTGATGTGTTATTGTCTGGTGATGTGTTATTGTCACATGTTATTGTCTGAACACAGACAGTGTTATCATTAAACATAATAGATTCGCCTTGCTTACAACGAAATAACTTGATTCAACATACAATGAGACTGGTTTAAGGACAATTTGAGTGAATGAAACACATTTATCAAGGTGAAGAATGACGTCAATTTAACAATTAATAGATATGATTTCCATGATTTACTTGACACCTGTAAACATGTATCCTATCGCTGTACACCACGTGTGCTGACAGAATGATAGAGAAAGAAATTTAGGCAATCACGCGTGTTCAGCGACACGTTAAAGTTAATGCAGGACATGTCGTTGTTGTAAATTATACATCAATGTTCCTTATGAACATAACATGTAACATATTTGACTTTTATTGATGGTATCAGACACAAATTTAGTGTGACATCACATCGGGCTAACTTAAACACACAGGTACTCTTCAGTCAGTGTTAAAACACAGCTACATTAATGTTTACGATCATGTAACAGTGGGTTCAAAATAAGAAATAATAAAACCTACCTTCTGGTTCTAGAAAGATGGCAGCCGACACTAGTCCTACCAAGCTTCCGACATTCCGTGACAAATGTTTGTTTTCATTCCTGAGAGAAAGCTGTAGTTCTATATAATCCTTGCCTCCAGTGTTACAATCAGCCCGATCTAATAAGTCCGGATCGACTGTCATTTCCAATGTTTGCTTTGAGGTACACGTACCTGATAAGTCAGGTTCTTTAATATCTTTTTGATGGTTATATAATAACGTAAAATTTTCTGAGGCCAAATTCAGAATTAGACACGAACCCGAAGTCAATAGATCGATTTGCCCTTCTGCTATCGATGTAGGAGCTCGTGTCGTGTTTGGTCCTCTACCTGCCGGAGTCTCGGGACAGGGAAAGGAGAATCTTAGTTCTAATGCTGCAGTTTGTAGAAATCTACCCGTAAATAAAGACAATGTTTCAGGTGACACATCACTCCGAATTTCGTACTGGACATCATCAACGCTATCGTCTATATCATCAGGTAGACGATCTCTCTCGGATATAGAAACATTTAATTGAATAGCTTCGGTGACTACCAGAAATATTTGAATGCTGTGAAAAATCCACAGTAGATTTGTCGTTGGTTTGGTAATCATGCTGGATGTTTAGATCTGTGGATAGTGAACCAAAACGTCAAACATCGAGTTGTTTTTATATCACATGAACAATTAACACTGCAGTTGTAAAATCTCCTTTATAACCCCATTGGATAAAGACATTGTAGTCTCATCTAACCACCGGATCCACTTTAACGGTAGTCAGAATATTTCAATATTTTATCCTCCTTGTCACTTGGTCGGCTTACAGTCCGATATTGCTTGTGCCGCGCTTCAGTGAGTGGAGTCCTTTGGGTCGATGAGTTACGGTCTAGTGTGTGTGGTAGTATATTACGCCGAGAGCTCACTACGCCTCTCGCATCCAGTCAATTCATAAAAAGACGGAAAATGCTGCAGATTCCCACGCACAGACAGAAGTTAAAATTAAAGCACTTACAACAACACGATGGTTTCGTATAGAAATGATCAGCGTCTAACATCTACTAGAAAACAGTGCCTTACCTTCAGAATGATATTGGTACATGTAATATCTACATATACTTCAAGAATTATTTTCTGTCGTTTGGGACTTAAAGATCACGTACAAAGCCAGCATGCCTACTTCTGAGACACAGAAAACCAACTTCATTACCTTAAACAGCGATTATTGCCAGTCAATATCCTGTTGTATCAATGCCGTTCGTTATTTTCAGTTAGCGGATATTATTGACGAACTGGTAGTCGGATCGATCACCCGTGAAAAGACTGGATCGGAAACATAAAAAGGGTAGTATGTTCATAATTGCAATACACATGTGTGTTGTTCTCAAGTTTCCTTTAAGTGTAACCCACCCAACAAAAGCTTCCATCTAAGGTTGTTTTTTTCTAGATTATCTGGGTCAAGAGAAATACTATTATTTGTCAAAACAACACTTTCGGCCTTGTAGTGCTGATTGTAAACGTTATCCAGTAACTAACCCCAGCTGAAGTAAGAAAAGTATAAATACAGAGCTATATGATAATGAGTTATTGCTGACGGTATCGGTCCCGTCTTTTGTATATACCTCACCGTAAGCTTCTTTGCACGCCATACAATGGAATATCAATCATTAGGACGGATTGCAGACAATCCAACCCTAGCTTGGGTCGATCTGGTTCATGGCCAGGTGAGGGCCACGAAAACAGAGACATTCCGAGACAGGTTTGATAAAGTGACGTCATACTAATTTGCGTAAAGTAATTAGTGACGTGTTAATAAACAAACAATGGGCTTCCTTGCGCTTTATGGAGTGTTTTAGTGAAGAAGGAGCTTTCCTAACCTTTCATCTTTTATCAGGACGATGTCTCAAATTCATTATTTAAAAAAAAACAGGCCCCGGTGCAATACCAACTTGTATTTATGTTTTCCGCTTCGAGAGGCAAGGAGAAATGGCAAATATATGTCCTATATTTACCACTCGCAATTTCTTTGTGGTTTTGTTTTATTTGAATTTGTCAGGATAATTAAAAGCTCTCGCATTCTGTGTAACTGTTCTTCATTGGATTATATCATGCCGCTTTTGTTCAGGACTAGAAGATAAAAAGAGTTTCTTTAAAAAAAATCTAATGACTACGTCAATATGCGACATATCTAAATCCTTCAGTACAAAACGTTTTCTACAAGATATATATGAAAACGCTAGAAACATAATACTGACCTGTACTCAAAACTTTGTTTATACACGAGATAAAGGATTACACTTCTATTCTACACTACAGATAGATAACTATATTACAATTATACAAAGTCTTGCAAACAAGGCAGAATTTAAAAAGTAAAGTCTGACATTCAATGTTTAGATATTATAAGACACGATAAAGCGATCCAAGAGATCCCAGAAAGATCTTAGTGCCCCGTGTTTAGGATCTTTATATATCAATTCATTATATGATCCTCCACTTTCTTCTTCTCTTCTTCATTCTTTCTTCCTTTCTCTCCATTATACTTTTTATTGACGATTTAATTGTTTCTATGGTAACATCAATAAACAATAGAAACATACAGTGGAACCATAGGATCTTTATCTGGTACCAGAGCTAAGGACCAAGGCGAGCCTGAAATAAAACACACCAATCCATCTATAACATATCAAGTAGTAGCAACAAAATGTTTTAATCGTCAAAATCAAAAATGGTGGCCCGTCATACATTTTGTACTCTTTGTCTGATTCGAAATTGAATAGGTGCCTCTCGGAAACAAGGGGAATCCCTGTTATGAAGTTTAAGAAAGATTCAGCATTCAGGGACGAGTTTGATTTTCCAATCAGCCCCAAAAAGATATTGCACATTCAATTCTTCTTAGGAATTAACGACCACACAAACTGCTTAATGAGCACGGAACTGGGAACCAGTTTCAGGCTCCTCGAACCTTAATCTGGGGCTACGGAAGGCAACATTCCAACCGATTGTCCTACCCCTGCCCCCGAGTAGACAAATTATGGCATCGATTGCAGGGATTCAAAAACTGAAGAAGAGTAATATATTGTAAACATTCCGAAAGCGCTGATTAATTATGATTAATGCATAGTCTGGGTTAGTGGCCCGGAGTTTGTTGTTCTTTATAATTGCTAGAATTAGGTTAGGACCATTAAACACAGTAGCAAGCAGGAACGACTTTTATGGTAATCGTTGTACATGTGTAGCGAGGTGGCCATTCAGTATTTAGGATTTAAACATCTTCGAGTTACACTCTGTGAATAACTCTGATCTTCTGGGAAGATCAATAGGTAGAGCAATTGTTAACATTAGTTTGGTTCATTCAACACGGAAAACAAACGTGTGGGAAGAGATGACTAATGGGAAGCCGAGGAACGGAGCCTGTTACAGTATTGACAAAAAGTTAATTAAGACCGTCGAAAAAGACTCACATGTGAATTATTAAACATATTTCATTTAGACTTTAGTCAAATATATGTTTGTTAGGTTATCGTCCACGTAATAATAGCCAGGGTAATTTTGAAACACTTCTTGTAGTGTCTGGTGACTACTCAACTGAACATAAAGCGCGAGGTGCGCCGCATGCTTACCAGTGCCATTACGGGTAAAAAGCTTGTTCTATATCATAACACACAACAACACGATACACCTTTTATGTCGAATGCTGATATAGATGCATCATACTGCTGTCCTGTCCTCGGAGCGTCGAGGGGCCAAAATGATGGTCAAGGACGAATCTGCAAATTACAGAAAATAGTAGATGTGTCAAGTCGTTTTTTTATTGAGAAGTTTAGGCCAAGGAAGTGTTGGTGTGCTTTCGTTATTAACAAAGTCGCTGACATCAGAATTCAACAGCACATGACCAAGACACTACCGTGTTTGTAGGAATAATTAACATGGGAATTTGTGTCGATAGTTTACGAGCTAGTTCATTACATCATACAATGTAGCTGTATCCCGCAAGGAACAATGATTTAATCTATTTATCGCAAGTGTGCTATCTGAAGGCGGGTGATTGTCGGCTAGGTCCCGAGAGAAACACTAATACCACACAAAGTAATAATTGAGTAAAGAATTTTACATGCACATAGGGTATTTGAGAGAATTTTGTATCTCTTCAGATTTCACATAAAAACGAAGGCGGATAATGTACAGAAAATACATCTCTAGGGACGGAAAAAACGTGTTTGCTGTTGGAGAGCCGGATTCGATGAAGACAGGTGGACCCGCCCCCACATACATACAACTAACATTATGCATTGCCTAATGTACCACGTATGAAATAACGAGTTTGTTTGTTGTAAGTTTCTACAAGGATTGGAATTACGTATTTAAGTTTTATTTTTGAAATAAAGGATGTTGCTGGCTCCTGCGATAGACATTACATCTGGTCAGACGAGTGCTTCTGTGGATTATCCTTTGCTGACTGGTTATCCTGCACCGAACTATGAAAATACAATATCTCTTGTGGTCTTGACTTTGCTTTGTTTAATTTTCTTGTTTATGTTTTCTAATTGTTTTTTTGTGACATCAGAATAACTTTAGACACCCGTGTTATTGTGATATGTGACATCAGAATAACTTTAGAAACCCGTGTTATTGTGACATGTGACATCAGAATAACTTTAGGCACTCGTGTTATTGTGACATGTGACATCAGAATAACTTTAGACACCCGTGTTATTGTGACATGTGACATCGGAACGACTTTAGACACCCGTGTTATTGCGAGTTGTGACATCAGAATAACTTAGACACCCGTGTTATTGTGAGATGTGACATCAGAATAACTTTAGACACTCGTGTTATTGTGACATGTGACATCAGAATAACTTTAGACACCCGTGTTATTGTGACATGTGACATCAGAATAACTTTAGACACCCGTGTTATTGCGAGATGTGACATCAGAATAACTTAGACACCCGTGTTATTGTGAGATGTGACATCAGAATAACTTTAGACATCCGTGTTATTGTGACATGTGACATCAGAATAACTTTAGACACCCGTGTTATTGTAACATGTGACATCAGAATAACTTAAGACACCCGTGTTATTGCGAGATGTGACATCAGAATAACTTAGACACCCGTGTTATTGTGAGATGTGACATCAGAATAACTTTAGACACCCGTGTTATTGCGAGATGTGACATCAGAATAACCATGTTATTGTTACTGAGAATCAAGACGTTAAACCCTAAAGAGCCCGGGCCGTTTATTTAATGGATGTCGTGTGACTGTCTATTTGAAGCAGCACAAAGTTCGTCGGCTACTTTGATAGGAAGCTAGGTAATGCATGGAAATAACTTGCTCTTAACTGAAACCCTAGCTAATACAATTCCTTCCAGCAGAAACAGAAATATCATATTTCAGCCAATTTTCGTTTTCGTATTCTGGCGAACCCTGCACATAAAAACGAAGTAAGATGGCAGAACGATGATTAGGTGTCGTTATGATTAGTCAGTACATTGCCTGTCTATCCACTATCTCATCGTTTGGTACACTCAGCTAAACTGTCCTCAACATCCAAAACCTTTACCTAGCTAGATATATATTCTATCGTAAGATGAGTATCTAATG